AATTTGCTCTAGTTTTAAGGGAAGGTTACGCAATATCACCGACAGTGTGGACATAGGAATCAACACAGAATGATGACTGTCAGTTTCACGCTTCAGTGCGATCTTCAGACCTTTTATGTCTTAATACTATACTGCACAGAAGCGTGCAACTGACAGTCATCATGCAATCTCCTATATCCACACCATCTCTCTCCATATATGTGTGTGTGTTTTCACTAATCCTGGGGGGGGATTAATTGCGCATCTAAATTCATATGTTTGCTTTTGATTTCGCCAAAATCCATGTTAATATCGCGCCTTGGAACTGTTCTTAGATGCGCTTAATTCATATAAAATTCATATAATTGCAAAAGAGTGACTGCAAAAGGGCGACTACGAAATGATTCTCAGCTCTTTTAGAGGAAAATCTTAAATTTCGATAGAAATGAAACAAGAACTTCAACCGATATATCAGTTCACATCTTTCATTTCAGTGTCGTCTGATTATAACAGATTTTCTTTTCATAAGAACTATTGAATATATGTAAGTAATTTCCAATCTGCACAGAATCGGTTGCTCATCTGCATTTATACGATTTTTAGTTTCTGTTTACTTGTCAAAATCTACGTTAATATCACGTCTTGTAGCTGTTCTTAAATTCGGTTAATTCTTTACGAACAAGATTATGACATAATCTTCAGAATGATCTAATTAAAATTCGTAATAATAAATTATATATTATGAAACAAAACATAAAAGATGTCAAGGAAAGTTATTGATATATAGCTTTAACGAAAGCATATTCCGAATTTAAAAAGATACTAACAGATTTAATAAAATTTAGATTTCTTCTCAAAAATCTAAAGTAGAATTTATAAATTAAAATTTGCATTTCCTTTAGCATAACTAAAATATATTTTTATCCAATAGATAAATGTTCAAGCATGCCAAATTTTATTTTTAGTTATTTTTAATTGTACGCTAAATAAGAATTCAATAAATTCATCGCCAATTAATTATAACTCTTTCTTAGATGTTATAAGATGAAACATAAATTATTAATTTAAACATCGCCAGTTTATAGTACGGAAGCAAAAAAGAACCATAAAGAGATTTCTTCTACTAACTTTTATAAGGATTCACCTGTGATTTAATATACAATTGTAAATATTTACATGATACAATTTTCCCTCAAAAACTTTTAAAATATCGATTTAAAACGATGTGCTCTGACAAAATTATAAAACTGGGAATTTAAAACATTTTGATCAACAACTCTCGAGTTATCTCATCTGGAAGGATTTCGAATAATTCCCGTCATAAATTATAATTTATCGGAGTACATAATTATTGTCTATCATGTTATATGGTCACAAAACGCTAAAAGTAAAATAGATAATAATGTTGATAACCACCAATAAAATATATATTAAGGGTCTTACCTGTTATGCCTAAAATCAAATACACTCACTTTTTTTAAATACTATTTACGATTGTAGGTTGAAAAGTTCATAGGTTAACCAAGATACTTACATGAAATGGACCAAATGAGTATTTTTTTCAACATAGTCCCCCCATGCTGTCCACACATTTTTTTCCATTGGTGTTGTAGTGCTTGGATCCCATTCGTGAAGACGCTTTCATTCTGTTTGTCAAAAATGTCATCAATAGCAGATATAACACTATCATCACTGCGATACCGGTTCCTAGCCCAGGGTTTCTTCATGTTGGGGAACAGATGATAGTCAAATCAGGAGATTAGGGGTTGCGATCAACCAGTACAAAGCCACAGTCGCCCATATTGAAACCAAAGACTTGTATGATTGAGCATTGTCCTGATGAAACAAAACCGCTTTCGTTAGTTTTCCTGGACGGTTGGTTTTGATAAACTTTATTAACTGCCTCAGCAGCTAGGAAAATATACTCTCCCTTGATGGTGTGGCCCTTTTGCAGATAGTCAATGACCATAATGTTTTGTGCGTCGCAATAAAACTAAAACCATCAACTTCCCATGCAGCGAACTTAGCCGCTTTTGGATGTGGTGAAAGTGGTGTTTCCACTGCAAGGATTGTCCCTTTGTCTTTGGCTCAAAATGATGAAACCAAAATTCATCCAGGATTAGAAAACATTCAAGAAACCAGCAGAACTTTCCTCAAGGAATATCAGATTTTCGCGGGATGTGAGTAGGCTGGTGAGTAGTTGTCAAAAATATGGCATTCACTGAGCAGAAACCTTCGTCATGCCAAGTTCATTGTGCGAAATATTCTCAACTGAACCACGGTATATGCTAATAGCATTGAGTATTTGATTTATAGTCAATCACCGGTCATCAATGACCATGTGTTGAAAACTATCAATGTTTTCCTCGGTGGCGGCCGTTGCAGGACGTTCAGACTCAGTGGCATATTCAAGACTTTCCCTTCTCTTGCTATATACTGTCCACTTTTGCACTATTGATAAATCTGGACTGTCATCGCCTAATGCAACAACCATGTCAGCATGAATGACTTTGGGATCTAAACCCTGTTTCTGTATGTACTTCATAACACCACAATGCCAAATTTTGTCCATTTTCAAGTGAAGTCGCTAATAGTTACTTTGACGTCTTCTTCAAAGAGTCAAACGTCAGTTTACCGGGAAATAAAAGTGAAGGTTAATGCATGCAAGATTTCACAGCTCTAGCATCACTTATTGAGCCTATAAGCGTTCTGCTCTCACCTACGTATACTTATTTGACAAATGACGTTCAATAATGCTAAGGATAAACGTTTTATAATTGTGGTAATAATGTCTATTTATTATTGACAATGATGGTAAAACGTTTTTGTTACCTCTTCTTAAATAAAAGGACATTAAAAATAATTTTAATTTTCATATTCATATTACGAACATTTACAAGGAAGGCTAATTCAATTCTTGCCATCATCGAAGAATATTTTAATAATTTAGAACATATTACAATTTTCACACTTTTCTCGACTTCAGTTCAATAATATGTTCAATATATAATAACTAGACTTTCACTCAATTTAAGCTATTCAACATAGAAAGAGTGTCTAGTATATCTGAAACCACATGCACAAACTATCGAAGTAAAGAAGCAGGCCTGATACAAGTGTTACGTATAACAAGTATGTCAGCGGCCTTGTCATTTTCTGTCCTGAGTACCGATATTTACGTAAAAATTATAGTAAAAAGTAAAAACTAGTAGATCGCTAGCCGGAAGAATATAAATAAAGCTTTTATTTTCTAAAAGAACAAGTTAAAAAAAATGGACAAATTAGTTCTCTGCTAGTGGATGTGACGAAAATTGTATTTACCCACGTTTCAGGAAAGCATGTACTCTTAGCGGTGTCTAACCGAAAAATGTACAATTTGGGTTCCATTCACTGGTCGTTACGAGTTACATGATTGGCCATGCTCGGCGCAGACTAATTTAAGAAGAGGAAAGTACTAAGATAAACTACATTCCTTGGTTTTGTCAGGACTGACCTTTACAGCTAGGATCCGCCATGCCACTTACATAGTAGCAAACCACTCACATTCCATCCGTATTCCATCGACGAGAAATTCCAATCAAACAGCTTCTTCCCGAAAACCACTGCCCTGTCAAACACCCAAGAGGATGTTTCTCCGAGCTCGACAATCTTAGCCTGTTCAAGTCTAAAATTAACCCTTGTCTTCTTCTCCTGTCTTTATAAACTACTACTTAATGTAACCCTCTGGCTCGAGGGGCTCCAGGCATTGTGTAAGGCAAACAAATTTGATACTACTGAATTAAATCATTTTTTTTAATATAGTACTTCTAATATGGGATTAGTTTGTTTTTTTTTTAATTTTAAAAGAAAATCAATTTTAAAGCAGTGATAAAAATATGCATGCCGTCCGCTTCACACTCCTCCTCTGTCTTTTGAACAAGAGTAGAACAAGAGTATAAGTTTATCCCTTGTTTCCTTTTTAGGATTGGTTTTCTATTATCTTCTAAAGACTTCTTATTTTCTTTCACCCCCTCCCCAAGCAGCTCCTCCCGTCAGAGTGGCATCATCGCCTTGCATGGTGTGAATTGTTGAAAAAATTCAATCACAGAATTATTAATGATTAAAACAATGTAACGGATTTAGACCTATCTGCAGATATCCAATATGTATTCAGGAATAAAGTCAAAATGTTTTTCGTGCACCATTTATATAACGATGATGGCATTTGATTGTTTTCATTTCGTTTCTTACGTATACGCAACGAAGCCTAATTTGTTGCCAAAGGGAAAAAATCATAAGAAGCCTCGCGGCTTTGCCGGTGATGAAGATGTCACTGATAATGACGGTTGGGGTCCATTAGAGACGTGCATAGATGCATTTGAAGTACGATAACAAGCTAGGGCTGAAAAATTACAGTAATGATTTATTCTCTGAAGATACAGAGAAAGCCCCATGAAATTTGATGAGAAATGCATTCATTCAGTCTAAAGTGATAACCACCAAATAACTAATGGGAATTTGTAAATATATGACTTCTGCTAATTAATAATTATAATGGTGAAATATAATAAAGAAAATAGATATTTTGTAATTATCAGCGTTCTTTTACTACAAGGATAAAGCAAAAGGAAAAAAAAGAGAAAATAACCAACTATGGCCTATTGAGGTCTGAATTCGCAAGGTTTTGGAAGTTGAAGATCGCAGTAATACTAGTTTTTGTTGATGCACTTACTACGGTGATTGGCTGAATTGAGTCAAAGATAAAGAAAATTGGCATTGGTTTCCCAGTGGAAATATTGCAGAAAGGAAGCCTCTTAGGAATGACAAGTATAATCCGGGTAGTGATGAAGACTTAGCATCAGCGGCAAATTGCATGATACTTAAAACTGCCGGTTCTAGCCCGTTGTCCCTGTATTAATTATCATATATTTACGTCTTATCTGAGAAAATAGTGGCAATAATAATAATAATAATATAAAATTTCCCGTTTTCCAATTTCTGAATTTGAGTGCCATTCTATCAATGTATAAGATTAAAAATGTTTACAGACACGTAGACGTCATAGATAGAGAGAAAGGGAAAAGGAAAGAGAGTGAGAGAGAAAGAGAAAGACAGAGGGAGAGACAGTGAGAGTTACAGAGAGAGAAAGAGAAAGACAGAGGGAGAGAGAGAAAGGGAAAGACAGAGGGAAAGACAAAGAAAGACAGAGGGAGAGAGAGGGAGAGTGAAAGAGAGAGAAAAACAGAGGGAGAGAGAGGGAGAGAGTGAGAAAGGGAAAGACAGAGGGAGAGAAAGAGAAAGACAGTGAGAGAGAGAGAAAGAGAAAGACAGAGGGAGAGAGAGAGAAAAAGGGAGAGAGAGAAAGAGAAAGACAGAGGAACAGAGAGTGAGAGAGAGAGAAAAGGAAAGACAGAGGGAGAGATAGAAAGAGAAAGACAGAGGAAGAGAGAGAGAGAGAGAGAAAGGGAAAGACGGAGGGAGAGAGAGAGAAAGAGAAAGACAGAGGAAGAGAGAGAGAGAGAAAGGGAAAGACGGAGGGAGAGAGAGAGAAAGAGAAAGACAGAGGAAGAGAGAGTGAGAGAAAGGGAAAGATGGAGGAGAGAGAGAGAAAGAGAAAGACAGAGGAAGAGAGAGGAGAGAGAGAGAAAGGGAAAGACAGAGGGAGAGATAGAAAAGAAAGAGAGGAAGAGAGAGAGAGAGAAAGGGAAAGACGGAGGGAGAGAGAAAGAGAAAGACAGAGGAGAGAGAGAGAGAAAGGGAAAGACGGAGGGGAGAGAGAGAAAGAGAAAGACAGAGGAAGAGAGAGTGAAAGAAAGGGAAAGACGGAGGGAGAGAGAGAGAAAGAGAAAGACAGAGGAAGAGAGAGTGAGAGAGAGAGAAAAGGAAAGACAGAGGGAGAGATAGAAAGAGAAAGACAGAGGAAGAGAGAGAGAGAGAAAGGGAAAGACGGAGGGAGAGAGAGAAAGAGAAAAGACAGAGGAAGAGAGAGAGAGAAAGGGAAACACGGAGGGAGAGAGAGAGAAAGAGAAAGACAGAGGAAGAGAGAGAGAGAGAAAAGGAAAGACGGAGGAAGAGAGAGAGAAAGAGAAAGACAGAGGAAGAGAGAGTGAGAGAGAGAGAAAGGGAAAGACAGAGGGAGAGATAGAAAGACAGAGGAAGAGAGAGAGAGAGAAAGGGAAAGACGGAGGGAGAGAGAGAAAAAGAGAAAGACAGAGGAACAGAGAGTGAGAGAGAGAGAAAAGGAAAGACAGAGGGAGAGATAGAAAGAGAAAGACAGAGGAAGAGAGAGAGAGAAAGGGAAAGACGGAGGGAGAGAGAGAGAAAGAGAAAGACAGAGGAAGAGAGAGTGAGAGAGAGAGAAAGGAAAGACAGAGGGGAGAGATAGAAAGAGAAAGACAGAGGAGAGAGAGAGAGAGAAAGGGAAAGACGGAGGGAGAGAGAGAGAAAGAGAAAGACAGAGGAACAGAGAGTGAGAGAGAGAGAAAAGGAAAGACAGAGGGAGAGATAGAAAGAGAAAGACAGAGGAAGAGAGAGAGAGAGAAAGGGAAAGACGGAGGGAGAGAGAGAGAAAGAGAAAGACAGAGGAAGAGAGAGAGAGAGAAAGGGAAAGACGGAGGGAGAGAGAGAGAAAGAGAAAGACAGAGGAAGAGAGAGTGAGAGAGAGAGAAATAGAAAGACAGAGGGAGAGAGAGTAAGAGAGAGAGAAAGGGGAAGACAGAGAGAGAAATAGAAAGACAGAGGAAGAGAGAGTGAAAGAGAGAGAGAGAGATGCTTACAGAAACATACTGTCTTGCATGACTGCAGAATTTCAAAAGAATTGCCAAGTAAATAAATTTTCCAGGACTCAAACATTCAACTAAAACAAACACATACACATAAACTCACAAACACACACGCCCATAAACAAAAACACACACACACATAAATACACACACACACACACAAGCGTACGCAAACGCAAAAACGTATATATACGCACGCTATTATGCGCATGCGTATACATACCCTCATTTACAAGTGTATGATTAGTAAACAACAAATAAGGGAAACTGTCTCCATAGAAAAATCATTTAAAGCACATACAAAAATCATTTTAAAACATACTTCAAATAAAAAGGTTAGAATGGAAACTCCCCATCAATAATGGAAAGTGTGATAACAAGTACTGGACTTGAGAAATAATTTTGCGTAAAAATTGTTTTAAAAGAAAGACTTTATAAATTTCAAGCATTACTGGCCTTTCGGTCAGTGAATATCGAATGTTTCCTTATAACGACTCTCCTAATATAATTGCTATTACTGTATATAGTGGTTTCTTTGCGAAGCAATCCCACTTTAATAACCAGGTAATTTTGTTGTACCATCTCTCTTCGGAACATAGGCGACTGTGTTTCTCAGCAACTTCTTTTTGCTATCTTGCCTAATCCCTGTTCTGACAACTATTTACACAAGCTCTTTCGATAGGTTGCTGTATTCCTCTATCCCTCTTGCGTTCAAAATGTCCTGTAAATTTCAAATTCTCCAGGCCCTCTTTTCTCAGTATGTACCCTAGAAACATCAACTGCCTCTTTCTGACCATTGCTATGAGTCTTTTTGATTTCTATCTTCCATAAAAACTTTTATTGTTATTCGCCTGTTCTGCATTATCAACATCATGTAAAAGCACAACTATCGTCTCACGTTTCGACTTCATCGGTGAGGAGATTATCACTATTCCCTACCATAGATAGGAACGATATCGCATATTTCAGTACTTTTTTTCTGTGTTTCTAAGATTTTCCTGCTTCTTAATATATTGCTTAACATTTGGAAGACACGTTTCAAATGTTTCTACATCTCTCCAACCGTAGCTCAATACAAACACATTTAAACCAATAACTTCAATATGTAACATACTCGTCGTGAACACGGATCTAATAGGTACCCCCAACATCAGAATATTTTACATGTGATGGAGGCAATTATTATAAAAGGACAAGAAACCGACTATCAATATTAACTATGAACTCGGCTACAATGTACTTACTGTATTTGGAAATTCACAATATATATACTTTCAGCAGCCTCTATATCGTAATCAGTAGCACTTATAATGGTATAAAAATAACCATTAGAAATAACTAAGTGTAGCCGAAGGTGCTCGGATTCAACAAAGCTGTGCATAATCCTTACATTCATCAAGTCCAAAAAATAAGAGACCTGTACTTATACACGAAAAACATATTAAAATTGAAACATGTTATATGCGTGCGAGGAAGTTTAAAAATGTTCTCAAAAATCTGATCAACTGCCCAAATAGCAAACGTTTTTCAAGAAAATGATTACTAGAATTAATTTGACAGAAAATCAATCATCAGCCATTTTCTTTCACTTTTGTTTACAAAAGTGAAATTCTCCGTTTAAAATTCTTTTAAAAAACAATTATAATTTTTTCAAAATTTAATTTAAGAAAATTAGAAATTATAAAGTTTATTTAATGTATTTTGAAACAAACATTACTTGCTCTCTACGCTCAAAAATGTTCTTTAAAATAAGTGAAAGCCGGTCTTAACAGCGATGTTGATTGACAAGTAACATGTGATGATTTCACCACGCACTGACATCTTACGTGAGGAAGTCTTATCGTATAGAAGGTTAGAATTGACTTAATTTAGCTTTAAGTGAACCAACTTATTTACCTCGTTATTTTTAAGGAAAACTATCAGCGCTCTAATTTTTTTTTTTTTTTTTTTGTTTTTGGTACTTAGCTTTTACCTTTGTTTACGATGCTCTATGAAAAAATATAATACTATAACAAAATTAAGTAAGACATGAAGAGTGAGATAAAATTTCATAAGAAAGGTACCTAATTAATTACTTACCTTTCTTATGAAATATTATCAGTATTGTATATTTTATGTAGATTTTACGGTATTATTTGGATTTCCACTCATTTTATTATTAATTTTGAGATTTCATTTATGGAAAAAATGACATAATTGAGATAATATAAAACTAAGATCATATAAATTTCATAAGACAGGCACATAAATCATTGTAGGTTTCCTTATAAGTTAAAATGCTATACATTTTTTTCTCTTTTGTTAATTTTTTTTAATCTTAAGTTATATAACAATATTGAAGAGGCATTTTTCCTAATAGTGACATAATCATATACACTTGTTATTTTATTTTTCATAGCCAACTAAGTAAACTACATACGGTTGGTAAGCCGTAAAAAAACAAATCAATCAAATTTCTCCGCTCAGCCTATGATTTGACTTTGTTTCTCTCCTTGTCGTTTCTGCTCTCTTTTTTCTTTTCAGTTCGATATATACTCCGTTCTCTTCTTTTCTTTCATAAAACTTTGGTATCTTCTGGCCTCCGTTCAATTCCTAGAGGTTTTCTTGTTGAATGCATATCAGCATTATCTCCCTTTAGCTAAAACCTATCTTCTACAATGTAATTGATTCTAGAACATTTCAATCATAGAATCAAATATAGATATCCAGTTCTAATTCACTATTTCTCTCATACGTGCTTTTGATATTTGCATCGGTTGTTGTTGAAAGAAGACATCCCGTAAAAACATTGCCATTGCATTTGACAATGTATTAAAGACACAGTTAAATTATCTTGTTCACAATCCTTCCACTTCCGTCATTCCGATAGCGACCGATGCTCATCTGATTGATAACTTGTAAATAACTTTCGGATTCGTTTATTGTTGCATTGTAATAAATCTAATTGAATCCTGAATAAATCGATGTATTCAAGATGTTCACATTATGGATATTTGTCGATCTGCGTTTTGTGTGAAATATTTACAATGACTGGACGATAGAGAATTACATAGTTATAATAGTCTTTAATGTGTACTTATAGGAATATTTAAAAGTCAGTCTGTATTGACTAGATTGTCAGCTTGTCTCCGCTCTGTCAGCATCTGCTTATTCATATGCCAATCATATTCGTGGTATCCATTTGTATTGGCGTAGTTACATCTGTGTCAGCATCTAAAATATTTATTTCCCTACGAAGTAATTACATTAGTAAAATTCCAGACCGCACACACACACACACACACACACATATATATATATATATATATATATATATATATATATATATATATATTATGAAATGGACAAAGTCCGACTATTATTTTAAGGGATGTTTTTATTGGTTCTTTTTATAGATACAAATATTTAAGTAAATGCTCTGTATATAATAAACAGGATTAACCACATTTACCGGCCTGAATATCCGAGAAATTTTCATAGAAAGTATGCGTTCTCCGACAGGAACCGAACCTGTATCCTATACGGAACTGTCATATAGCCTGACGTGCTTTACCGATTTAGACACAGAGGTGAGCATGGTCGATTTTACTGTTTTTAAACTACAATTCTCCATGATTTTCTCCCGTACATTCAGATCTGCTCGATGCGTACCCAAATGTAAACAAATGACGTCACTCATTATGAAATGGACAAAGTCCGACAATTATTTTAAGACTTTTTTATGTTTATACGTTCTTTCGGAGGACGCATATTTTCTATGAAAATTTATCGGACATTCAGGCCGGTAAATGTGGTTAATACTGTTTATTATAAACACAGCATTTACTTAAATATTTGTATCTATAAAAAGAACGTATAAACATAAAATAGATTGGTTGATTGTTTTTGTTTAAACCATAGCTGGGGAAAGAAGAGGTAGAATTATAACTTTTTTTTCCCAAGAGTATTTCCACACGAGTGAAAATAACGAAACCGGTTGGAATTGAAAATCGGCTCTCCGATTTCCAGTTCCGAACCTTTAGCCAATTTATCATTCCCACATCCAAGCTTACAGCACCTGGTATCCTCAAACGGTAACGCATCTAGGTACTGACCGAACTTGATCTATGCTTAACTCTGGTGTTTCAACGTTATAAACCCATAATCCGGTAGGAAAGAGAAGAAAAATGATATCCCATTCTTCCTACTGTCTGCCTTGAAAATAAACATCCAGAATTTTAGCTTTGATGGATTTCATGAATTTGAAATTTGACGGCCGCCAGCATTAAGATATGGTTTTGTGCATGTCTATCATCATGCCTACATGCTACTGATCGTGCATCCATGTATTTATGTTTGTGTGTGTGTGTATGTGTGTGTTGAATATATATTTATCATATTTGAGATTTATTTCGAGTTATATGTTTCAGATTTATTGAATATCTGACCCTGACAATTTACACAAATAATAAAAAGTCACAACAAAAAGTAACAACCTGCAATAATGCAACCAGGGAACCTCAATGCAACTGCAGAAATAAAACAACATGTCCACTCCAAGGAAATTGCCAACAAACGAATATAATATATAAAGCCAAGGTAAGTGCAAACAACAGTACAATATACTACATCGGTGCCACTGAGGGACCATTCAAGAAAAGAAAAATAGCAACCACGACCTTTCATTCTCCAATAGAAAATACTCAAACAGCACTACACTATCCACATAAATATGGCATCTAAAAGACAGAAATATTACACCAAGAATAAGCTGGAAATTATTGAAAAATACACCTTCCTACAACAAAATTATAAAGAAATGCCTACTTTGCCTACACGAAAAGGTAGCAATAATTGCTCATACACAACAAAAGAATTCACTAAACATAAGATCAGAAATAATTTCTAAATACAGACATGAAAACAAATACCTATTATCAGAATTTCTGCCAAATGGATAAAAAATACCAACCAACACTACTACATAAACCACCATTGACACTTTAAACATGAAAAGAGAAACCACTGACACCATAA